ACAGCCTAAAAGTTGAGTTATGTTTTATTTGGTGGGAGGACTCAAGCCAGGATGACAGCCTCTCAGATCGGCCCTGAGGGACAGCTCCAAAGAGGTAGTGGGGGAGGAGCTAGAATACATAGGAGCTTTACAACAAAGACCAGGTAGTTGGAACAATAAAAGGTTACTTGTTATCTAAAGAAAAACAGGCATCTCAAGTTAAAGAATTAAGTGCTTTTCTATGTATGGGAGGAAGCAAACATTTGGGCTCATTGAATTCATTCCTTTGACAAGCACCTCGCTATCTAGGGCCAGTATCTTGTCCTTTATTATTCTGAGTCCCCTCAGGGTGCACCATTGTTAAGTGACTACAAGGCTGGGCTGCAGGCTTTTCTTCGCTTGGGGGTGGCAGCAGCGGCTGATGACTTGATGGTTTCAGCATTCTTTGTTTACTGATACAGTTTGCAGTATTTTTCGTTCACAGGTCCCACATCCATACCTACTAGTTTTCTGACCTGAATGCACTTCTTGGTCTCCCCGAACCTCATTCTTCTCGTGGGTGATATAGGGAGGGGGGAAAAATCACACTTACTTTTTTAAGTTGTTGGCTGCGAGGATTAAGTGAGATAATATATTTACATGGTGCCCACACCTAATAAATGCTCAGTTAATGGTCATTAGTTCCATTATCATCATTATTCTTACTAGGAAATAACACTTTCAGGGTTATTATTAGCATTATCATCATTAATGATATTAATGGTTATATGAAAGGTTCAAAAGTTTTCCTTAGGTTGTGGGAATTCAAAGATGCACACACTGGATACTTTCTTGCTGGGAACACAGGTCCTGTGAAATGAAGGTGTGGACAGGGTCTAGCTTGAAATGATTCACTGGAATCTTCTGGAATCCCAGTGTTTCACTGGAAGCCTTTATGCCATGGCAAAATTTCAGGAAACACTCTTTGAGGAGGGGGGGTCACATCTAAGCTTCTGCACAAGATGAAAAGTTGTAAAAATCCACCAAATGCTACTGCTTGCGTTAAGCAATGTCAAATACTGACTAAGATAGAAAAAAGGTCACTTAGAAGCTTGTATTTTTACCCTCACTACGAAGAATTCAGGTGTCCAGCTAACGAGCTGACTTTTGCACTTGTCTTTTCTGTACGTAAGATTATGAAAAGCCTCTAGTCTTGCTGTTATTGGTGGCCTCGTTGATTATAGGGTACAGTTTGAAATTCCTGAGTCTCATGAGGTGTGGAACTGATCAGAACAAAGGGTTCCAAGAGGAAAACCATCTTGCTGGCTGAAAAGCCCTACTGAGCTGCCAGGCCATCCTCACGGACCCAGAATATCATCTGAAAGCATGCAGTAGGGTCTCAGGCCAGGAAAAAGTTTCAGCCCTGCTGCTAAACTGGAGAAGAGTAAATAGGCTTGTGCTGGTCTCCAAAACACAAGGCTGTTCCCAGACAGAAAAGGCAGGTGTTAATTAACCACTGCAGAGTTAGAATGGCTCGTGCCATTCTGCATTGAATAGTCAGCTTTGACTTCTGATTGTATGCCAAACAGGGAACAAACAAACCCAGTGTACTTGCTAACAAAGGTTCTTATTGCATACAAGTCACATTTAAGGTAAAAGAGGAATCTTTTTGTGTGTATGTGGGTATGTGTAATCATAGCAGAGCCTTCACTGAAACGATCTCGAGTGTATATTTGTATGTTTTATTTAATTTTCTTCCTTTCCTGTGGCGTTCCCTCTTTCATGAAGCCATCCCTCAAAGTAAATGCTGATAAGAAATTAACATCCACACCCTGGTATACTTCAAGGTGTTTCATTTTAAATATTCACACTTGGATTAAAGTGTAGCATCATTTATTTACCTTTCACAATGCTTACCATATTGTAGAGGCTAAATACATAGCAATTAAAATAAACTAACCTTACTAGAACTATAGTGATACTTTCCTAGATTTTATTTCCATTCTGTCATTCTTAAATTGGTCTAATTTCTCCTTAAATGGCAGGATTTGGGATCGTTCACAGTCACAAATGAGAGAACAAAATAAGAGAAAGGCAGTCTTATAAATGAAAAATCTCTCTTATCTATTGGTCTTGCCTCCCAGACTGTCTGTCTGTCTCTGGAAAGCAAAGTCAATAAAAATGATAAGAGCTGGCATCTCACAAATGTACACCCTTAAACCATGAAGCAGTAATGCTGTGCAGGGAATATTTTTCTGACCTTTTCAAATTGCATCCAACTGTCTCGGGAATTTCTCAGTGACTAGAGGTAATAAGGTTCAATCCGTTTTACTGGCTGGCTTCAAATTTAGTTCCCCCGAATCTCTAACTTATCTATTCTTTGCATCTTAGCTCTGGCATCCATTCAGCACAGAAATCCATGCATCTCATCTTTTTTCCCTTCCTCAGGTTTTGCTAAAGGATCACACTGTGGAGCTACAACCATGACCACTCTCCACTTATGGCCCCTTAAAGAACAAAATAGTAGCATGGGGAAGGGTGGTAGATGTGATGTCTTGAGAAGCCCTTGTTGAATTTAATTAGCTTGTAGATTTCATCTCCATGTTAACATCTCAGTTTTTACCTATGTGATTTATGCCCAAGTAATCTTCATTAGATAAAACTTTTTTCACCTTAACTATATCACAGACACACTGTAGAATATTGAAGGGGCAAAAATAGAGGAATCTCTTTTGTGTTAAATTGATTTTGGTTTTTCTTCTGTGAGTCCAAATGCAATGAACACACTCCCCGGATAAGGATGGGAGTCATCCGAGTGTGACTTGCTAAAAGGCAGCTGGGTGGCCCCATTCTTCACCGTGTTCCCTGAAGGAGAACAGAAAATAGAAGCTGGGGACACATTTCTTGACCTCATGAACATGTTGGATGTCTGAAAGCCTTGACGAGGAGTTAAAAGCTTGTCTTTTCATATTTAGAGCATTTCTGTACTGAATATGCTGCAGGGGAGATGATAGCATTGTTTTCTTATTTGTAGGAAACACCAAGTTCAACACACACATGCTCGTTCTGTTGCTCCCACCCATCGCCTTTGCACTGCCTTCTGCAGCCCTGATTAGAATCTTGGCTGTAAGTTCCTGTAGTCAGTAGAGCTTAGAGCCTCTTTCTGGAGCCTCTCTGTTCATGGGCAAACAGCCACGAAGAGGAGGAACTCTTTTTGAAGTTGCCCTTCTACAAGTCTGTATTTGCTTGTACAGTAATTGTCAAGTTTGATCATCATAAGATATTTGGCTTTATAAAAAATGAGATTATTTCAAACAACTCTATTCAGAAAATAGGTTTCGAGGGAAGAGGATAAAGAGCAGACATTGTTTTATTCAATTATTTATTGTTTATTCAAAACAATGTATTTTTTTCTTAAAAGAAACAGAATATACTTATGCCAAAACTCATCTTCTTAATATAGCTCATCTTTTCCATTTTAAAAAATAAAAATAATGGTGTTGATGAAAGTTAAGAGGAAACAAAATATGTTTAAGGATATGTGTGTTTTTTGAAGTTGCTATTTTGTCATTTGAAATTCAGTTCCTCTTGACAGTAGAGTCATGGTCCTGATTTTGCCCGCTTACAACCTGGGTATGGTTAGCTGGTAGCTTTGTTTATTTTTAGTAGAGATGAGGCATTTGGGCAGTTTTGCATAAACAGATAACCCAATATTTGCAATACAGCATAATGGTTTTTATCACTAGCCAGAGAAGAGTGAGACTTTCAGATAAGGTGACTGGAGCAGGTCTGTTCCTTGAATAGAGCTGCAGCACCCCTGACGGGTTGTTAACGCCGGTGTGGCCAGGTGTGTGACTGCATGGACATGTGCAGCCACGTGTGACAAGCATGCACTCACTTGAAATTGGGATTGAAAGGCAACAATTCCAAAACCAAGGGATTCCAGTTTCTCCCTGGAGATGTCATCTCAGTAAATTAGAAACTCGGCCATACCTATGACACCTTTCAAAACAGAGTGGCTTAGCCAACCAGCTCTGATTATACATTTAGTGCCTCCTCTTTCCTATTTCTGAGATAAATCATCTCTCCTCCCCTTCAGGGCCGGGAGGTAAAACAAAATCAATGTTCAGCCCTTCCACTGACAATGTAAAGTGGTTTGAATCTGGTGGGAGAAAGGAATGAGTGGTGCCGGGATCTATTTGTAATGTGCTGTTTTGCCTTGCTGGGTGTTCTCAGCATTTGGGGCATGCTTCGGGAGCTAATCAGGAACTTCCAGGTGCAGAGGCAAAGGGAGAATGAGAAGCGTCATTAGCAGTGCTGTGAGTCCTGATGGTTGCTGCTCGTTGGATGACTGCCATTTACCGGGTAGAACATCCACATCTCACATAGCCTCCCTCCATCTTCACGGAAGCCCCATAAGACAGGTACAGCTGTCTTTGATTCACTGGGGCAGAAAGTGACGCTTGGTATGGTTACAGCTGAGTTTGTGTGTTAGTGGCGGGCGATGTGTGAGGAAAATTCTTTTTACAGAGAAAGGAAGAAGATAATTCACTGACTGAACTCAGTGAGTGTAGGACATTTTCTCCTCCTCTTTCTTCCCCTCCTCCACCACCTCCTTCTCTTTTCATCTTCCTACTTTGCTTCCTCTTCTCCTGTTCTTGTCTCAGAGAGAGTGAAATGAAGCTGAATATTAAAGCTCCGTCTTCCGCAAGATGGCTGTCCTTCTCTCAGTTGTCCTGGAGGTGCTTTCAGTAGAGTTACGTATTGATTTTGAAAGTCTGACGAGGGCCAAGAGTTCTGGCTAATGGCTTCTAGTGTCTAAACTAAGGTAATTTTTATTACCTGAAAATAATAGCACCAAAGCAGAAGATGGTATTATGTGCTGTCCTCACAAGCTCACATTCAACACTGCCTCACGTCTCTTTTCGTCTGTGTTAATGGTTTACTGGGATGAAAAAGTGGACTGAGGAAAGCGATGTTCAAAGGGATTTTTGTGAGTAACCCAGGAGAGCCTACTTCTGTAAATATAGTATTTCGAAATCAGGGTAGCTAGGAAATTAAATTCCTCCAAATAGATCACTAAGATCCTTTTTCTTCTTCTCTTTGCATCACATCTCAATATTACAGAAATAAGCATGCTTGATTGCCAAGGCAGGCTTGTTATGGTGGCCTTAGCTCAATGAAGATACCAATGTGTGAGGATTCAGTTTCACCCTTAGAGTGATGCCTGACATACGTCAGTGTGTTTCTCAGTAAAGGGCCTTGGTAATTTCTTCTGGGTAAACTGGGCTTGATTGCCACAGCCCCACTTAGTCTCTGATGCCGAGGCCAGCAGCTTCATGGGGGTTTCATTTGTTCCCAGCATATCAGAAGACAGACAATATATTAAAATCTAAGCAGAGTGGGAGCATCTCAAAAGCTCTGTCACCAGTGTCCCCTGCAAATTTATTTCTTCCTAGAGTGAATATTCTGAAGTTTGGGTCTGCATCTCACTTGAAATAAATAATCCCCTTTAAACATTTTCAAATAGAACTACACAGGAAAGGCAGCATGACTTTAGATGGAAATATGATTTCAAGATCCCCTCCCTCTCTCTCTGAGGGCTCTTGAATGTGCATGTGATCCCAGTACAGAGTTCTTCCAGGAAAGCTTTTATGTTTTGCAGAAGGCCCCTTCACTTCCCACTATCACCCTTATTGGGAATAAACTCAAAATAATATAAACAAACGAGTAGATTGTTCTGAAATGGTCTGTCACACACAGTTCATCTTCAACACTTCGCTTTCCATTACTGCTGAAAGAGGGAAGGTGACAGCATCACTTTTAAATCCGTGGGTTTAGTCGTGGGCACCTGCCTGTGCTTCTGTGATATACAGGCAATCTCTACTTGTGTCCGGGTTGCAGCAGTTTGTATTCCTTAATTGGAACCCCACTGATACCCTGTGGGATTTCCTCTCCTTGGCAAGGCAGTATATCCATATAGACATAGAGCATAGCCACCGTGGCCTACTGTAATATTATAGTCAGAAATATCAACACTGGGATCAAAATTAAACCAACACCTAGGCTAATGGAGATTCTAGACTGCCTTGTGATATGATTAGGAACTCACCATTTTCCTCAGTGTTTATCTTTGGACTTAAAGCATATCCAATTTGAATTTCTGCTGACATGACTTTATCAGGATGTTTCCTCTTCTGTTTTAATTCCTCATTGCATTGCTTCCAGAAGTGAGGGGCTGACTGGTAAAATTACTGACAGTTACACATGACAAACAAACACAAGAGGTCTGAGCTCTCTAAATAGAAATGATACTGTTTTATTACACCTTCTGCCTTTTTAGGTGAATAAATACTACATCACCAACTTTATGAAAATGCCTGGAAAGCCTTAATTTTTACTAAAGTTAAGTTAATTAAAATGAAATTAACAAGTAAATCCTCTTTATCTTAACTTTCATTGTCAGGACAGGATTCGTTACCTTGGACATCAGAGGGCCACGCCATTGTCTTTATTTATGGTTACATCATTTGCATTTGCTTCTCCTTTCTGCTATTTTTATTTTTGTCATCTGAGTCCATGAAAACTTAATCATGAACCTTCTAATTTTCCTTAAAAAAATGTTGATTTATCAAACTGGCTGCAGAAAAAGATCATCAATCTGACATCGTACGTTAATGGTAGGGAAAAAATACATTCATAATTAGAAGAGAAAAGGACTTTCCTTGTTCATTCTGGTTGATAATGAAAAGCCCCTCACCAAAGTGTCTTAGAAAATAATGCATTCAGACTGAGTCGAATTACGCCAGCAGATTCTATTTATCTGTAGCTTAAAAAGCAGCTGCGTTTTTGTAAAAAGCAATGAATGTGGCAGTCCTACTTAAAGGTAGGAGAGAAAGAACACCCCTTGTTTTGTAATAAGGGATTTTCCATTTAAAAGAGCGAGCGATGTTGTTGTATGAAGTACGACCATTACAGTCTGTGTGCTCTATCTCACCCACCAGGAGGCTAATAATGGAGGGGCCAGAAAAGAGGCCGGTGCTACAGGGTTATCTCGCAGCCTCAGATGCTGGATAAGTTGGGGGAGACAGAATCGCTTTTGGGTGACATTCAGAACGGCTGGAGTGATTATTTGGAAGAGATAAGCCTACCTATTCTTTTCCAAGGTAAACAGTTCATTTCATCTGTCGGCCACCTGTTTTATTACCAAATTATGTGGATATAAAGAGATCTATAAAGTTTGCTTTTAAAAAAATTCTTTCAGGTGCGTGACTATTCCCCCAGCCTGCCCATCCCGATGAATTCTTAGCAGCCTGCCCGAGACAAAGGATGCGCTCAGAGCCCCACCACACCTGGAGCCACGCTTTGAAGGATCTGCCAAGCTCACTTTTAATCGGGAGAACGAAATTACCCACATGGAGTCAGCAGAAAATGAGAAAGTAGAGCTCGTGCTGCGAATCATTCCAGCAAGTGCCAAGGGGCTAGTTGAGGAATGGCTTCGTGAGGTGAATATCTTTAGCTTGTACTTAGGGTTTGGCTAGCGTATAATCATTTTCTCTTTTAGGAGCGATGACGATCATAAGTGTCTTTCCCAACTCAAGAGCACCCCGGGCATGTGTCGGGCCGTTGTCAGACTCGGTATCCGTCTTGTCCTTGTTATTATTTACTGTGACTAATTTGACACTTGCAAATACGCAACGTTCCACCGAGGCGGGGTCTCTCGGAGCCTGGGACCGGGGGGAGCCGCGTGTGTCTGTGTGCCTGGCCGTGAGTGCGTGTCGGTCACTCCTGTCTGTGTGCTGTGCGCCCTTGTTCTCGTCTCCTCTCTGTTGTGCACGTAGCCGGGGAGGGCTGGCCAACCACTGTGTTCTCAGATGTGGTTCGAGGCTTTCATTTGATTTTTGGACCAGGAAGAAAAGAATGTGTCACATCATGATTAATGGTCAGTCTGAATTTTCAATTCATACGAAGGGAGAAGGGGGAGGAGGCTATGAGCCCAGTGATGAGACTAACCTTTTCCCTTTGGGAAGAGCATGATTCAAATTAAACAGCACTTTCAGTGTGAAATTAGTTTGAAGGCCTCTCCCTCGCTCCCTCGCTCTCTTTTTTTTGGTCCCTCATTTAACTCTTTGATGGGCAGCTCTTTCAGAGAGGATCCCTTCCTGCCTGAGTCTGTTCCCAGCAGCAGCCTATGGCTCCTCTTCCTTTGTTCTAGTTTTCTAAAGACTGGGTCCAAAACCCAAGGACAGAATATTTGGCTATTTTCAAAGCTCCATTATTTACAAGATGCCATTCTCCCTAAAACATGTTGTTTCTTTACGTCACGAACTGACCTCTCAAACAAGCAAATAACATTCTTCTTTTAAGGATAACTTTGCCAGGGAGAGGGGAGAGCGATCCTTTTGAAAGACCCCTCGAGTGCCCTCTGCTTTGCGCCAGTCTTCGCTGGCCAGGGGGCCAGTGAGGAAGAGCGGCGACCAGAAAGCCCAAGTTCCCTCTCAGGGGGGCCTCTAGTTCCCCACACGGCTGAGGCACGGGATCGCCAGGCCAACCTGCAGCAACGCTGGCTTCAGGCAAGGATGTGCCTGGACACTTTGAAACCACCTTGCAGTACTTCCTGGTCCAAGGACTCAGGCCCAAACGTGTAGAAATAAGTGCTGTCTGTGGAAACACTGGGCTGCTTGCCCACCTGCACATCCTGGCTGCCCCCGTCAGGCCCACCAGGATGTAACCTGTGATTGATTCGCTTTCTGGAGTTTGGTGGCTTGTTGGGGAAGGGATAGTATTGAAAAGGCTAAGAGACAGGGATTTTGTTGCAATGTATTTTCAAAGGGAAAATCTGAGAGCTTTGAAATTCCTTTCCTAAAGGAAGGAGAGGTGTGCTGGAGGAGGCTGGGGAGGTGAGGCAGCTGGGGGTGGAGGTCAAGGTGGAATGGGGGGGCAGGTGGAGGAAGAGGAGCAGCTGTGTTTATTTTAATACATATCATTTAACCCTCACCTAGAAACAAATTGGAGAGGTTTGGGAGTGCATTAATCTGGACCCAATTAGCATGTCTTTCTCCTTCAAAAGTGCAACCTGAGACTAATGAATATAAACTAGAGTTTCAGATGTCGTGCTTAAATCATTTGCATGTTTCATGCATGATAACTGAATTTATGTCTGCACTTCCTTTCACTTAACTATTTCCAGTCTCCTCCTGGTGAGTCACATGAAGCAGGATTTCGTTATCCTGGGTGGGAAGAACTTGCCTAGACTTTACTCCTAATGAGAAACTTGAGTGCTTGTTTCTTCTATTTGAATTTGAATAAATCAGTATTTTTTCAAAAGCAGAAGGCAGGGCTTAAGAGTCTGGCATGCTGTTTCAGGAGTCGGTAAACAGGCCTTCCAAGTTGATTTTGGAAAGGGCAGAAAATCCATGGCAATTTATGGCATTGAGTTTTCAGTGGTCCCAGAGAACTGGGTTTCAACGTGGCCACTTTTCTTATTTCCAAGAGCAATGTCACTTTACTGCCGCATAAAGAATGTTCTTGGGCTGTGGACCGGAGTTACTTAGATCACAGGGATTTCGTGCACAGCACTGTTTCCGGCATAATTCGATATTTGCTTCCATACATGCGGGTGGGAGATGGTGTCACCCTCCATGAAGGTCTGTTAGTGAGCGGTTAGCACTTGTGGTCCCTTAGCATGCTATAGGTTTTTTCCTTCCTTCTTTCTTTCTTTTTTGTTATTTAAGTGTAGAAGCCTTAATGCTGACAGTGCAAGCAGGTGCTAAGCCCCCTGCCCCCAAACCTGCTCCAATATGAAAAGTCTAAAAGCTGGCAGTGTGCATGTGAGAACACTTCCTAGGGAAAAAGTTGAAACAAGAGGCTTGAAATAATCCCCTGGTTTCAGTTTGTATCAGTGATTTGTCTGTCTTCTGTCTTTCCTCGTGTGTTTCCAAGTCCAATGTCAAAGTAATGCGCTTTTCTCCAGGAATTCTCCCCAATGTCCTTTGTTTTGGGTGCATTCAGTGGTTGCGTGTTGCTGAGTGTCTTCTAGTCTTGTTTCCTGGTCCTTGTAGCTAAGAATGTCGTTGAAGGATAAAATCGTGTTAATTTGTGATGTCACAATTTAAGTGTGCTTCCTGTCACTTACGTGTAGTTTAAAATGTTCCTTAATGTAGCATGAAATGATTGGTTAGCTTTGAAATGGTTGTGAAGTCATGTGAAGAAAATAAGTTTTGCATCCGACCAAGATAAATTCACTCTAGTGCTTTATGGCTTTTTATTCCTATGTGATAGTAATAAAGTCTCATGTAGGGATGGAAGCCATGAAATACATTGTGAAAAATCATCAACTAAGAAGGGGCCATCAGTATAGAAAACGTTAGCCTGTGGAGCTGTGAACGTGATGGAGAAATAATTTAGCGTATAGCTTTGCTACGTGTGGTGTTTCTTTGCGTTTCTCTATCCTGAGATTTTGACAGCTAAGGAATCTAGGTTACAAGAGTTGATTCATCTTTGTAATCATTGATTTACATGCGCATTTAGGTTTGCACATTTCTGTTTACCATACATTTTCTCCGTTCTCTATTAAGGACCGTGCTCTAGGGGAACTATTTATAGCCTGCTGATCTGGGAGGGAGCATTTAGTCCTCCTATGCCTCCTTTCTCCAGCTGTGGTCTTTTTTCTGAAACAAAGAAGAAATAGTCAAATCAGACTTGCCCTCTTGGAAATGTGGTCCAGATTGCTCTACTCCCAAGCTCCAGAAAAGGTCTACAAGGTTGGGGGGCAGGATTGGTCAACACCTCCTCAGATCCATGAATCCACTAAGAGTTGATTTCCACTTTACAGGGGTAGTGTAGTCCAGAAACACCTGGTGTCAGAGGCAAGGGGGGCTTTGGAACAGAGTCAGGCTCTAATCCCTCTGCTACCCCAACTTCGTGACCTGGGGCAAGTCATTGAAACTCTGAGCCTCTTTATCTTTAAAATGGGGAGAAATAATACCTTAGGGGGACGTTGGAAGGATTAAATGAAAGCATGCCTACCTGTGCCTAACAAAGCATTTAGCATATTTAAAAAATCGACTGAAATACGACTTTTCCTCCCTTCCTCTCTCATTCCGTTTTCTCTCCCTCTCATGTCCTCCCCTCCCTTCAGATGTTGGTCTAAAAACAGCACCTTTGCGAGAGAGAAGACTAGAATGTCTAATAAAACGCAAGCAAGTAACTAAAAAACAATAAAAGAATGCGTAGTTGCCTCCTTTCCATATGTGGTTGAAATCCCTCAGTTGGATCAATAGTTTAATTTTTTTCCTTGAATTGTTTTAATGATGATTGCCCTATTTTCACGTCTCCTGTTTTCTGTATATTTATTTTGGCTTGACTGTTTGTTTTAATATTGACTATTGACCTCTACTCATTTTACTGGTTTTCTGTATTTTTTTTCCACTGAGAATTCCAATAAAACTTATTTTCATCGTCTTTTGCCTCTCCATTTCCTCCACACGATGGGATTTTAGCCTGTGCTCTGAAAATGTCTGGACTGCTCCAGAAAGATAAATGATGTCTTTTCCTTAGAAACTGCCCACTGGTAGTGCCAAGAGAACTCTATCCTCCCTGCATTTGCATATCAATGTGCTCGGGGAAATTGGTCAATTTAGTTGTCACTTTGCTACTAGCTTAACTTTTAAACATATAGAAATTATAATTGACTTTATCACTAGTTTATAGGATAACTATGGATAAGGAAAAGGACTTTGCAGGGACACAAATGCTGAAACGTTAAAAAAAATCACAGAATAATGTAAGTGTACTGCTATAAAAATAGACTATAGTGAAAATCAGTGACACTATATTTGTGTCCACACTTTTTAAAATTATAACTGAATTTGTTTTCTTATACCCCTATTCTTACCCCTGTATATCCAGATCCTAGTAATATCCCTAATCCTTAGTAGATATTCAGATATTACTGGATAAATTAATGGGAATGGAAGGAAGGAAGAAAATGGGGGAGGGGATAAGTAAAAAGCTATATCCCCACAAGAAGCAGATTGTATGATTCGAGAACACATACCCAGTTAAAGGTCTACACTCACTACAGAGTGAGGAGAATCTAATTCTGTACTAGGGTAGATATTACATTCTTATATATCTTGGACATTCAAGATAAAATGACATATACAAAATTATTCTAGGGGCCCAGAGCAAGGAATATTCCCTAGAATCAGAGAAGGAGCCCTTTTGGGATTTAGAACATCAGCCAAATTTCCATAGGCAGGAGTCAGGGACTTAGAAATTAATTTATCAAGGAATTTATTAAAAGCTCAAATGTGTGGTTCTTGGAAATGTTTCCAATGTACAAAGCCTTGAACCCTGGAGCCCATATTTACTTCTAAGTATCTTCACAAGTATCATTAGAAACAGACAGTAGCTTTCAGGACACTCTTACTTAGATTAATTAGTTACTGCTGAAGCTCAGTGGGCTGCAATTAGCTCTTACACCCGTGTGGGACAGGACAAGTCTAGACTGCCAGCACGACCGTGATTTCAAAGATGGCCGTGTATTTGCCCAGGCTTTCCCTGTATTCTTGTGTGATTGTCCTTAAACTCCAATACTTGCTGTAACTATGAGGCAACTTGTGCAAAAGTGGTAGCCTCCAAGAAGGGCTTAGCATTCCCCAGCAGGTCTGGATGATGAATCTGTCAGTAGACACTGGCCTTTTCAGGGTAACTGATTGGCCATTAACTTGCAGTGTATTCCTAGGTAAAGTGCACATAAATATGCTGACCAGTGGAACAAAATACTGCAGTAAAAAGTCATTGCACTCAGCAAGTGAAGGAGTAAAGCTCTGTCTCACCAGTGGTCATGGCGTAAGCAAGAGAGACTCGCATCAGAAAAGAGTGAGAGTGTGAATGTGGGGCAGAACAATCCTCACATTGTTTCCTTCCCTAATCTTCATCAGAAGTTGCACTTCATCAGAGGTTTCACCCACGACATTATCTTAATCAATGGAAGGTAATAGCCACGGGATCTGGGTATGGCCAGCTTAAGAAAAGTTCCACATTGTCCTGCACATTCAAAACCCCAAAATGGTGCTGTGGAATTATGAGGTCTCCTATTTGGTGAAATAAAGAGTTCAGAATTCGTCTCTCATTCTTTGGATGGTCCCAGGAACTCTGAAACCATGGTTCAATTAGCAAAAGCGTCATCTTTTTAGTCACAATTTGCACCTCACCAAGTAGCATGTGCTCTGAGTTGTCTTTGTCCCAGTGGGAATGGGCTTATGCTGCCCCACACTCACACCTGCCCACCTTTATAACCAAAGTCACTCACACCTGCATGGAAGCCATGACTGAACGGGAGGTTCAACAGCAGCTCTGGATCAGAGTGGGGTCTACACAGGAGAACAGAGTGAGCCCACAATCTCAGTGAGCACCAAATAACACAACCTTCTTGGTCATGAGTTTTAGGTTTTCCATCTCTAAACCAGTTCTTAGTGTCCAATCTCCCAAGGGTAGCTACTCCAGAGGGAGCTGCCCCAGACCCTGTACTTACAGATGAGGCTATCCTTAGATTCAAAACACTGATGGTCAAAGGGTGGCATGGGATGAGGTTTGAAGAAATCTCTCCTGATGCTACTGGAGGGCTCTTCTCTTCATGACCTTCCATCAAAGAGGCCTCCAGACATGTGACGATCCACTCTTGCCAGGCCTCTTAACTTTTCTTTCCACCGTTAGTCCTGATCAAGATTAACAGAACATAAATTGGTTGGTTTGAAGTAATAATAGCAGCCCTCGTGGTTCATTCTTTCATTCTGTTCGCTCTTTTCTCTTTCATGTGTTTATTTGGGCATTACGAAATAAAACTTTATAGGCAAGAGATATAAAAATATTCTGGGAGTTTGTTTACTGGTCTTCCAAAATCAGGCTATGCAAAGGGGACTCAATAAATGGCTTAACTGCTTACTAACTTCAGTTCAGAATCCCTACCATGACCCACAGGCCTCACAAGGCCTGCGTTTGTCCCCCTCTTGACCTCATCTCCTGCCTAGCTCAATGAGTCCAGCGTCACTGATTTTGTGATATTCCCTAAATATACCAAGTGCACGTCTACTGCAGAGCCTTTGAAATTGCTGTTTCCTCTACCTAGAGCACTCTTTCTGGAAATCTACACATCCCACCCTCTCGTTGCCTCAAGTCTGCTCAGAAGTCCCCTTGGCAGTGAGACCTGCCAAGCGGCTATAAAATAAGTTCCCTCCTTCTCCTCACTCCCAGCATCTTACTCTGATCTATTTTTCTCTGTAGATAACATTTTTCAAAATCTGATATACTATATATTTACCTGATTTTTAAAAATTGATTGATTGATTGCCTTTCTTCACTAGAACATAAGGATCCAGGAGGCCAGGGGATGGACCTGTCTCTTTTGTTTACTGCTTTACCCCCAGAGTCTAGAATCATGTTTGCACATGGTAGACACTCAAATATTTGTTGAATGAAGTAATATTCATTGGGCACTTCCTCACATCTAGGGGGTCAAGATACTGACATTATATATCATATCAGCAAAAAATCGCTTGTACTTCTCATCATTTGAATTAACTATGCTTTAAGCATTATCCTCTCCTAAGACAAAACAAAACAAAACAAAACACGCTTACTTTTCCAGTCTCCTCCCTTGTAAGTCATATCATGATGAGCATCTTTGCCCTTAAGCTCTATACAAATTCCTCCCTAGGACAAATTCTTTGTTGTGGAATTACTGACTCAGAAGTTCATGGGCATTTTTATGGCTCTTCATTTATATTACCAAATTGCTTACCAGGCATGTTATACCAACTGACACTCCAAACAGAAGGAAAATGTCAGAAAATTTTGGTTTGACTTTTTTATTTTTAGCAGTATCACACAGATTTCTGCTGAGTTCACCAGATTCCCTTGCTCTCTCAGTTCTTTTGATGGATTCCCCCGAGAATACACAAATGTGCTATTTTTATTTACACTTTGAACTTTGATTCTAGATCTAGCATGAAATAAATTATTCTAGAAATGGAAGGAAGTCAGAAACTATATTTTCCAATTCCTCTATTATACATAGGAGGCAATGAAGTTCCAAGATCATACTATGGGTTGCAAGCAAGTCTGGAAGTGAGGGCTCTCAAATCAGCACCTGAAAGTATGTGAAAACCGTGAGTCAGCTCACAGGAATCAGAGCACACTGTGCTAACTCTGAACTATCAGTGTCCACCTGTTCCTCATTAATGTCAAAATGTCCACAAGAGTCTGTCTTGATGTTGAGATTAGATACATTTATGGGGAGTAGGATGTAACTTTCGACTTGAACTTCCTGTTCCACTTGCTGTGTTAACTTGCTCTGGAAGCCTCTGTTTATCTCAGTCTCTCTTGCACAATCTGGCCCCTTCACATTTACCTTCTTTCTGAATTTCAAAAAATTACAAGACAACTGAGAAACTGGTAGCATTTGTTGCATTTCTTTGAATATAAGCAAAACCATTAGAGAACTGGTCTTTTTACCAAAGAAGAAGATTTTGTGCTTTTCTGGAGCTAATACAAAATTGTCACTTGGACACTGTGGGAATGACTATTCAAACCAGCCCATACATTTATAAAAAGCTATACATATTTGAAGACATGTATCTTAACATATAAACACACATAACCTCCCATTTCTCTCCAGGGTAATGTACACTAATAAAAAACTTAGAATTATATCTTGTCTTTCCTTTGAAAGGCTAAAATCTGGTCCTGTACTTTTTTCACTCACATGTATGCCTTCATAAGATCTCTTTTCAGATAAGGTGTTCTTACCTTATTCATGGATTGAATTGTTCCAAGAATGCCATAACCGAAGATCAAAAAGTGCTTAACATCCATGGTAAATAATTATCAGAGCTCTGTTTATTTTCAGAAAGATCTTGAAGGCTGAATCAATTGATGGCTTAAATAGGACAGCGTGTCCCGAAAAAAAGCATTAATGTACGAATATGTATCTTAACCTGGTTGCCTTCGCTAAATGCAGGAAGTCTGAAATTTCAAACTATTTATGGAGAATACACAATTATTTACTGATAAGCATGAATATCTCTAAAGAAAATGTAAGTGTCCAGTAAAATAAACAAGTAACTCAAATTGACAAGAAGTCTCCAAAATGAACTTAGTAGTCACTCATCTGAGCTGTAGGGACTTTAGATATGTACATGCAGGCATATCTGTTTGTTTCAGGAGCAAAAATTTAAATTCAAGGACAGAAAGTTGTGAGGCTCACCTGAAACAAACCAAGCTTTGCACAAACAACAAACATGATTTAGGAAATTTTTATCTTTACTTTAAATATGTATTTTTCAGTTATGGCCCCTTCTTATTTATGTTAGGTAGTTTAGATACAAATGAGCACTGGGCAGGGGGAGAGGAAGGGGAAAAAGTAATGTTAACCGGGGAAAGGGAAATAAGAATGATCTTTGTTCTTAGTCACCTGAAAAAAAATCTTTTTGATGAGAGACAAAGTGTGATATAAGCAAGATTTTTATTAGTGAAGTGAAAAAAAAAATAGTAAAAGATAGTCCACTCCCAAGAATTGGGAGTGGGCTGCTCTGGGAGAGGAAACGTGGCACTGTTCTTTTGTTTCTCCTGTTTTTATATCCTGGTTTCATGATTGATTGATTGACAACTCAGGTTCCCTCACTCTGGTTAACTGACAGTTCAGTTTCCTTGTGTTCTGGGTTGTTCCTTTCCCCTTCCTCCCCCCAGCCCAGTGCTCATTTCTATCTAAAATATCTAACGTCCCTCCCTCTAGTCACATGACCCCAAGTCTTTGAGATGTCAAGGGTGACGACCGCTCTAGCTACTTCCTGCTGATCTAGGGCAACGATGGAACCCGTTGGGGTCCTAGACTAGATGGCTGTCACTGGGCAGATGGCGAGCCAAGGGTCGGTGTCCACTGAGGGGCTTGCATAAAAGCTGTCTTGGCCAATTGGTTACTTACCTTGTATAGCCACTTGAAGTTTAACTCTAGACGAGAAGAAACACATTTTGTAAGAAGGTTGAAAAGACAGAGGTCAAGTATATAGACCTAATCCTTGCTAAGGGATGAAAGGAGCAGACGAGGGTCTTAAAAAAAATTTATTTCTGTGCTTTCTATTGGTTTAGGTTTTAAAAGGCAGATGTTGGAGTGTTAGTCCAGTGAACTAAAGGAAGAATAAAAAGAAGGACCCTAATGTCAGAGACATTTTGAATTAGTATTAAAATAATCTGATTGGGGCCCTAAAAGAAAAAAGATTAGAGCCAGTAGATGTTTAAGAAAGAGGTTTATCTAACAGGGATCCATAGTCCTCTAGGGTGATGGAACAATCTCACTGGAGTGTTGCTTGAGAAGCAGTTGCAGATCACTAAGTTCACAAGAATATGTGGCTCCCGTCTGTGAACCAGATCTCATCAGGGTTTTCCAGGGTTTGTCGGTGAGGTCTGTTCTAGCTCCTAGAGAAATGGATAGGGTCTCACGACACAGGTGAGAGGGAAGAGACTCGTCTGGTGATGGTAATAGTGTAGCAGGATTGAGTGTCCCACAGACAGAGACAGCGCATCTGGGTTTGCCAATAATAATGCCTGATATTTAAGAAACCAAGTATCTGAGACCCAGAAATGTCCCTTGCCTTTTAAAAGATCAGAAACTTGGTGGTTAGCCTATGCTTGTATAGGAGCCCCCAGCGTTAGCTTAGAAGCTTCC